AGGAAGATGCAGTCTCCCTAGGCCTCTTTCTTATTCCTTCTGTACAATCCCAAATGTGGATGCTTTTATATCTCAGACTGTTGTTTCTCCCACATAAACAGGAATTTTTATCACTGTCATTGTGAGTGCATAGCCCTGTTGTACTTCATTCCATTTTCCAAAATTTGATCCCAACACCCCTCTCTCCTCTTCCAACTGGGTGGATGGGGTTGCCAGGGAAGTGCATTTTTCAGGCTGAAGGGTAAAACTAGGCAGTAATCCCTACTTCTGAGGGTGTCTGGATGAGTGCTGTTAGTTTACCATGATATGAGCTTTCTAGAGTTTCCTGTTATGGACATTGCATCACAGCTTGTTTCTAGAACAGAAAATGAGATGGCCTCATAGAAAAGCTAGATTTTCTCATAGGATGCAAGGCTGAGTTTCTCAATCATCACTATACACACAAATGGTTGGAGGACTTGCTAAGATGCAGGTTCTTATCCAGCATGTCTGGGTTGGACCTGAGAGTTATGGACCTTAGACCTCACTTTGGGAAGCAAGGATGAAATTTTTGTCATGCAACCTCCACCTGGAGCCCAGATTCTCAGCAGTTTTGCATCAAGTATCCATTTGGGAATCCAGTACAAGTGCTGGGTCTCCACTTCAGAAAAGGCGACATGCACGCGCGCAAGCCAGTGGGCTCTTGGTTAATAGCGTTCAATATAAACCTTACTTCCAGTTCAGCCAGATATTCCCAACCCTTCCCTCCCAGCTCCCTCTCAGCCTCTGCCCTGCCAGAGCCTAGAGTCTGGGAAATTCCCTAAAGATGTCAGTCCTGCCGTAAGTGAGTTCACTGGTGCTGTATTCCAAAGTCTCAAATCCGACATGGCTGTATGTGTGGTTGGAAGACGGGGATCATGTGTGCTCTCTGTAATCTCCAACTCTTCCTCCATTTCATTCCAGTGCACACACAAATGCATAATGAACATAAACAAGCAATTTAACTACATTCTCTTTGGGGTGAGCTACATTCTTTTATTTATTTTCTCAATAAATGTTAATTTTATACCTACTTTTTGAGCCCCCTCATGGTTAGGCATTTGGTAGGCTCTGAAAGTATAGTGGGAACCATCATAAATAAGTACAGTGTGGCCCTTGCTCTTGAGTGGCCACCATTACCATAAAAGTTGGCATGTAAGCAATGATACCACATTGGTATGAAGAAGATAAGTTCAAATGCTAGGAAAACACTCATGTGCCTTCACAGCCACATGGGTGCGGACTGTGTCCTGTTCTCCTAGTTTAGAAGTAGGCCACCCATTTCCATATATCAATGATGTTCATGCTCAGATTAACAGTTTTGATTCTTGTTCTATGAAAAGATCCCAAACACCCTCCCCCTCCCACTCACAAAGGACACATCTTGGAGACTTGCACGTAAACACCCATTCCTCACCTTCCCCAGCCTCCTGAGTGTAACATAGAAATCAGAGACTCACAGAGCTTGAGGACATTAGAGGTCTCCTTATCCAGAATGTCATCTCGTCTTTACAGACAAGGTACTGCAGCTCAAAGCGGGTAAGTGGCTTGTTGGAAGCCACCTAGCCACGAGCTTTAATGGAAAATTTCCCATGGCTTTGTTGAACTGCTTGCCCACCTGGTTTCCAGCTTATGGAGAAACACGGATGATTATGGCTTTTAGAAAATGTTGCTTTTACTAAGTTCTGTGCTAGTAATGCAAGAAAAAGGTTAAATCTAGATAAGTCCAGGTAAGCACCAGGTCTGACGAGGAAGAATCCAAACAGGCATAAAGCCTCTGTCTGAGAGAGGATTAAGAGGGAACAGTGCTCAGCTTGAAGAATCACAGAACTTCCAGAATGAAAGGGACATTCAGTTTTGTCCAACCTTCTTATTCACAAGTTCTAAAACATGCAGCAGACCAGAAGACTGTTACTAGAACCCAAATGTCCAAGGGCCATCTAGCGTTCGTACTATTGCTTGACACAAATTGAGCCTGCAAGACTGTTCCTGGCGCCACCTGGTGGCAGCAACCAGGCAACAACCTGACTGTTGCAGTGGCAGTGAGATGAGGGCGGGAGTTCAGAAAAGTCTCCAGGGGGGACCCAGGAGCTGAGATTGGGGACCCGGGGCCCCAAGCTCAGAGAAGCCCAAGAGCCTGCGGCTGTTCTTCTTACTGCCAGCCTGGCCTCTGCAGGTCCTGCATGACCACATTGCCTACCGCTATGAAGTTCTGGAGATGATCGGAAAAGGGTCCTTTGGACAGGTGGCCAAGTGCTTGGATCACAAGAACAATGAGTTGGTGGCCCTGAAAATCATCAGGAACAAAAAAAGGTTTGGCTGGATGGGTGACACAGGCAGCGTTAGAGGGGTGCCCTGCTCTGGAGTACCAACTTTTTCTACTTCCGCAATCACCTCTGCATCACCTTCGAACTCTTGGGGTCAGCTGATTTTACTTTTTAATTCACTGTGTTTGAAAGGTTGCTCAGATGACAGAAGAGAAACTTTGAGGCCAAACAATAATATTTCATGATTAGAGTGGGTGTAGCAGCTCCTCAGTTACCAAGAAGTTCCATGAGGGCTTGAGTTAAAAAGGCTTCTAATACAGAAGCCTTTCACCTACCAGCTCTGATTCTTCCTGTTATTTTCCCTTTTCCTCTTTCTTTCCCTACCTGTTTTATGGCATGAAGGGGCAAAGGGGAAGGCAGCTCATGGAGTTTAGTGCTTTCTGCCACCCTAGGCATTCTTGTTGGGGCTGTGGGGATGGACTGAGGAAACAGGCTAATTGCCAGAGATGTGTCCCCGTTCCCCACCCTCTCTGCCACTCCCCCATCACTGCAGATTTCACCACCAGGCCCTGATGGAGCTGAAGATCCTAGAAGCTCTGAGAAAGAAGGACAAGGACAACACCTACAACGTGGTACACATGAAGGACTTTTTCTACTTCCGCAATCACCTCTGCATCACCTTCGAACTCTTGGGGTCAGCTGATTTTACTTTTTAATTCACTGTGTTTGAAAGGTTGCTCAGATGACAGAAGAGAAACTTTGAGGCCAAACAATAATATTTCATGATTAGAGTGGGTGTAGCAGCTACTCAGTTACCAAGAAGTTCCATGACAGGGAGACTGGGATCAAAAGCTGCCATCTCAGCCACCCCTCAGGAAGCCTTTCACCTACCAGCAAACTCATGCTGGGCCTCCCTGGTCCTGAGTACCAGGAGCTATACTGGATCATGATAGGATTTTGCTTTGTTACCATGTTCCCCACACACTGGATTCCTGGACAGAGACTACAGCCTAAAAGGAACAGGTAGCATTGCCCAGCATGGAAAAGGAGCTTTAATTTTGAATAAATAAGGACAAAAGCTGATATTTTATGAGGGCAAAATGATGACCAATAGGTTGGTGTTGCCTGCCTGAGGGCTTGAGTTAAAAAGGCTTCTAAAACAGAACAGCATGCTTATTTGACTACTTTCCCTTCTGAGAACTCTGTCCAGTGCATGCATTTATCTTACTTGAAGGGAATAAGCAGGGTGAGCTCGTGGGCGGAGGTTCAGGGTAAGCTCGCGGAGGTGCAGGGTGACCAGATGCACTGCACTAACACCGTGGTGCTCACATGGCATAGTGGTAAGGGTGAAGCTCTAGGATCACCTGACCTGAGATGGGAAGAGAGTGGCCATACTCACCGCCATCGCTGGTGATCACAAATGTGGCCTTCTCTGCAGGATGCACAGGTGAATTATTTTCTAGTCTGCAAAACAAACATCCCATGCTGCCCGTCTGTGCCGTTAGTCACAGTGCCCAGTTAGGACATCACTGTACTTGATAATGCTTGGTGAGGCAGTGTGTGTGTGTGTGGGGGGGGAATCCTAAGCTCCACAAAGCGGGGGTGTTGCCTAGGGCCACACATCAGACAGAGCCAAAGCCAGGGCTCACATCTCCATCTCAGCCCTCAAGAGCAAATGGCTTTCTAAACACTGCCAGTGGCCCGGCCTGGTGTCGCACACCTGTAATCCCAGTACTCAGGAGGCTGAGGCAGGAGGATTGTTGTGAGTTTGAGATCTGCTTGAGCTAAAAAGTGAGCTCAAAGCCTGCCTGAACTGCATAGTGAGACCCTGTCTCAAAAAGACCCCCCCAAAAAAAACCTAAGTAAATAAATAATAAACATACTGTCAGCATTAGGTAATCCTAGAGAGGGAAAAGGGAAATTAGAAGTCACCAGCCAGAGACTGCTGCCCTCCTCTTCCTGTCTCACACAGCTCCTATGGAGGCATTAGTTTCCAAGATCTATAAGCCTGCAGTTTCATGGGATAGAGCATCCTTTTATTTTATGTGATATTACAGGCTTCTGCCACTATAAACAATTAAAGAGCCAGCCTTTGTTCCTGCAAGGCCACTGGTAGATGGAACTAAGTAACAACATATCCCTTTTTTAAAATGTTATTTATTTATTTTAGTACTGGGGATTGAACTCAGGACTCTGCTTGCCAGGCAAGCACTTATTCTACTGAGCTATCTCCCCAAACATATCCCTTCGATAGAGCAGGAGCTCCCTCCTTTGCTTTGGCTCTTACCTGCAAACTTTCTTGTTCTCTTGTTTACCAGGAGCTGGAAGTCCCTAGACAGGCTTTTTAGGCCTGGCTAGGAGTGTGCTTGATCAACTAGGAGGCTTCCTGGATTCTTCCCAAAGGCCTGAAGAAATAGGACTACTGTAGAAGTTTGGTCCAATCTCAACCTACATGTTGCCCAAATATTTAAGTGGCCATGTAACATTGTCTAAGAGGCCAGCATGGTTGGACTTTATCTTGGGCCTACTGCGAGTGAGTGAGTGAGTGAGTGAGTGAGTGAGTGAGTGAGTAAGAGGGCCAAGTTTATAAGACACAAAAGCCCTGCCTCTAAGTCTGAGATATACCTACTAATAGAGGGAAACCAGACGGCATGTAGCTGTTTGCAGGGTCATGCCGAGCATTTTTTTTTCCGAGCATATCTTTTATACCAATATGTATCACATTTTCTCTGTCTTTCCCAGAATCAACTTGTATGAGTTGATGAAGAATAACAGCTTCCAAGGCTTCAGTCTGTCGCTGGTTCGCCGCTTCACCCTCTGTGTTTTGAAGTGCTTGCAAATGCTTTATGTAGAGAAAATCATTCACTGTGACCTCAAGCCTGTGAGTATAACCTCTATGCTACTCAGAAAGCATGTTTCCACCTGTCCCTAGGAGTTCCTAGGACAGCCAGCATGACTGGCACGGGGGAGCCAAGGCTCCTGTTTACAGGCTTTGTGAGTACAGAGAGTCTAAGAGAGACCAAGAAAGATGGGGTGTAATTGAAGCAGCCGGGATGGGAGTTCTGGGGATTGTCCTGTGGGAGGGCTGTGTGGCCGAAGATCAAGATATGCTGTTAGAAGTGTATCTTGCTCTGTAGCCCTTCAGAGTCCTCCCCAGGAGGACTCCTTATGTGTCCTGCAGAGACGTCCACCACAGGGGCAGATGACTGTATTCAAACCCTCCGTAAAGACCTTCTACCCTAGTTGCTTCCGGAGCACAGCATGCCCCAAGACACTTCTTGTACTTCAGCGGACAGGACCTTCCTGAATTGCTCTGCTATCACTGTCCTTTGTTGCACCAAATTTGTGTAAGAATTGCTTCTCTATCTGTGTTCCCTCTGAACTCTAAGTTCCTGCAAGGTCAGGAACCACAGCTTTTCTCTACTAGGTCCCAAGACCTCACATGGTACTTGGCAATAGAAGACAATACAGAAATGTTTGGTTAAGTGAGCCGATTGCAAATGTGAGCAGAGAGGTAGCTAGGGATGCAGTGTAAGCATCTGGCTCCAGTAACAGCCAGACATTCACAGATCTGTAAATAGCCTTAACTTTTCCTTACATGCATCTTTCTAACCCCAAAATTATTTTTTAAAAAATTAGTCCTTAAAAACTGTAACTCACAGATTAAAGTTTGGGATTTTTTGTAATTAAAGATTGTCACAATGCTTACACAGATTCTCATGGCTGGCCCTCAAAAGGATGGTGGGGGTGTGCTGCTGTATACTCTACACCTACACTCCCAGTCCTCAGCTGGTACCTCCAAAGGATGACCATACCCATGTGTTTGGGCTTAGGGGACTGCTGCCCACCAAGAAATTCACAAACCACTTCAGGCCCACAATATCAGATAACAGATTTCCTTGGGACATAGATCAAGTAGACTGAATATGTGTGTCCCCTTGATGCACACAGCTAGGAGGATGGATTCCAGAGACAGGGAATTGTTATTGTGGGCTTCATGGTATGGATGAGCTCAGCCTGGTCATCACATCCATCCCTTCTGTAGAGCTCTTTCTTGCCTATGAGGTGGGGGATAGGAAGGTGTGTCAGTCAGCTTCCCAACCCTGGGACAAAACCTCAGAGATAAGTAGGTCAGTAGCAGGAAAGGCTGCGAGGTTTTGGCCCATCATCAGCTGTCCCGTGATGTTGGTCATGCAGCCCCTTGTAGTGGGAGCACATGGTGGAGAGATGCTGCTCTCTTCATGGCAAGTGGGAGATGAGAGAGTAGGAGGCAGGGCCCAGGCCCCAGTGTCCCCTTTGAGGCACTCCACTTCATTCCATTGGCCTTAGGGGACATGTAAGATCGAGACACTTAAGGAGACTCCTGTCTAGGGAAGTAGCCTTGTGTTTGGTAAAAGCCACATTAGAAGAGCAGCCTCTTGTGCTAACACACTGTCTAGCAGAGGCACTGTGGGCAGCATTTGCACTTTCTCTGCCTGTGGTCCAAAGGCCTCCCACTAGGTCTGCTGCTCACATGTCTAGGGGAGTACCTAGATGTGTTGGGTGTCACATGATCCATGTGCATGGCCTGAGGTCCTAGGAAAGCAATTGGGACTTTAATCCTCCAATCTCAGCCACACATCATACTGAGAGAAGAGCCCAGAAGCTCTGCCTTCTCCTTTGAGATGCCGCTGAAGCACCCAGCTTTCAGGTTTCCCCAGTCAGGTAGAATCACAGCCTCTGACCAAATCATTGCCTTCCTCGGCTCCCACACTACCACAGCCATGTCAGCTGGGCCTTCAAACAAACTCAGTCAATGGCCTTCGGCACTAGGTATCAAAAAAGAAAATAAAGAGCCCACAATCTACGAAACTTGCACAGACAATATGGGAAAGACACACAGTATGCGGTGAAGAAGCACTGCAGAGCCGAGAACGCTGGCACAGATGCCTGGTGCAATCCTGGCTGCCTTGGTGTCCCGAATCCACTCAAAACACCTTCCACAGTCATTTTGATTTTGAAGGGGAGCAGAAGTCACATGGGGCAAAATCCAGTGAGTGAGGGAATGAGGACCTAGCAAAGGCTTTTATTTTACTAAAACTGCCAGAAACATTCGATCAGTGAGGAATGATGTAACATGTAGTGTTTAAACTTTAAAAATGTATTTTAGGGAAAAACACATTGCTATGAATGCCCCTTAAAATACTCCCCCTTGCTTCAAATACATGTATCATTCTTGACAATTTATCTTTTACTGTAATGACTAAAAAAATGTAAAAGTCTAAACATTCACTGCAGTTTTCAGCCACCCCTCTGTAAGTCACCATATCTGAGGAGGAATTCCTGGTGCTCCTTTCACCCAGGGGCAAAGCTCTTTCTCAAGATGGGGTTCCCTCTGGTAGGACATGGACCTTACATGTGTCCTAAGGCCAGTGCATGGGATGTGATATTGGTAAGATGCAGACCAGGAGGTGATGGGAAGCCAGAGGACACCAGGGTGTGGAGAAACTGTGAGAAGACAACCCTAGGCTGTGCTGCAATTGGAACTGGGCCCTATAGTTTGGTGAGCACTGAGGAAAATAGAAATCCTGCAGCAAAATTAATTTTGGTAGACTTGACTTCCATTTTTTTTCTCTAGGAAAATATAGTACTATACCAAAAGGGCCAAGTCTCTGTTAAAGTTATTGACTTTGGATCAAGCTGTTATGAACACCAGAAAGGTAGGCCTGTGCCAATCCCTTTGTGTGGGTTTTATTGTGATTTTTCTCCCTTTACACACAAGGCTCCCTGGGTTCTAGCCTGGGCTCTGCCATCACCATTGCTGTCATGATTTTTAACAACATGCTTCACTCCTTTGAGCTGAATGTTTAGATTTTTAAAAGATCATTACAGTAAAAGATATATTGCTGAGAACGATAGATGTGTTTGAAGCAAGGGAGGAGTAGTGATACCTCAACTACTGAACAACTCTGAGCTCAAACTTTCCACCACTCACTGGAAAGCTTAAAAAAAAAGTTATGTTCCTAACTTTGCTCGATAGCTAAATTGCAAATCCAACTTGAGAAAACCTGTATGGGCTGAGACCGAGTCACATCTGTTGCATCTCACCACAGACCCAAAGGGGAGATGCTTTGGGCTAAGCGCCACTCTTGTCCAGAAAATGTATAAATGGTGAAAACAGTCTTCACTGTGCTTTTTTATTTGCACAAAATATTGTAGGTAGCCATTAGGCCCCAAAGAAGATTATGATACCAGCAGTCAAGCTAAGAGAGCACTGTGAGAACCATGAGAGAAAATGAGTTTGTAAGTGTAATTTTGGGACATTAGAACCAATATCTGGTTTTCCCTTATTTCTTGTGGGAAAAATATGTTCATTTCTCAAACTTTGTATTGTTCATACATGAATTTGGAACACATTGATGTTGGTCTATGATCAAGGTATCACTGTACTTTAAGGGGATTAAAGGCAATGTGTCCTTTCTCGTACTACATTTAAAAAATGTAAAGATCATTCCTCATTGATCAATTGTTTGTGCCGCTTTCTGTGACATAAAAACCTTGTGCTGTGTCCTTATCCCCTTGTTCACTGGATCTGCTCCATGTGACTCTGCTCTTCCTCAAAGTCAGAATGACCTCAAAAGGTCAGCATTTTGAGTGGGACAGGACACACAAACCAAGACAAAGAAGATGAATCCCTAAACTGCTTCAGAAAGTGACAAGGACAGTGGGAGAAGTTGTTTGAAGTGAGGGGGAGGATTTTGGAGATGACTAATGGCATTGTGTCTTTTACTATAATGAATTTATAAAAATTTAAGCATTCAGTGATTTCTTCTAGGTCTTTCTTTGCCACCTTTACAGTGGAGACAATAATAGTAACTTTTCTGTAGGACTGTTATAAGGATGGAAAGCTGTGCTTGGAGTCAGTAACACCTGTCATGTGTTTTGCACTATGTTGGTGCCTGTAAATTCTTGTTTTACAATACTCTGTGTACTTTGCAAAGTAGTCTTTGGTACATTTGGAACAAGAGGAATGTATATGTCTTCATGGAAATATCTTTATTTTCTTTTGAGTTATTAAATAATTATATCCTTACTGCAACCTATTAAAACAACAGAAAAATTATTATAGGACCTCTTCTCCAGGTAAGTACAAATCAAAGTTATATGGAAATAATCAAATGTCTTACTTCTCAGGCTCAGGCTCCTCCTCCATAAAATCTAGGCTTCCTATGCTATTGTCTGCTGAGATTTTGTGAAGGGTTTGTTTCCGTACCTTGCTATCCAGTAAATGTGCATGATGTATTACATACACATTAAATTTAAATTACATGCTTTGCATCTCCTTCTGAATCTGCCATGCCTCCTCCCTTGCTGAACTGCGGTGCTCTCAGAAACTGTCTCCCTGAAGCCAAGTTAGTGGTTTTGAAAACCAAATTTATATTAGTTTTATGTTGGCTGCTTTAAACTTGTCTCCCAGGAACCATACCTACCTTGATGCTCACACTGAATACCACAGGATGGTAACATGCCCACTGTGTCAGTTTGTGAGAGGGTTTGATGAGATTGTGGGGTGACATGGCTTAGTGCTGGCAGGCTCTCAGCACTTGGCACTCTCTGCAAAGCTGTGCGCTAAGAAGGGAGGGTGGAGAGGTAGGCTGTGAGCCCCCCTTAGCTGCCACATCGGTCTCCAGAGCCACGTGGAGGGAGAGGGCTTGCCCACGCGAGGCCTTGCGCTTTGCCCAACAGTGTACACCTACATCCAGAGCCGGTTCTACCGATCCCCGGAGGTGATCCTGGGCCACCCCTACAACATGGCCATTGACATGTGGAGTCTGGGCTGCATCATGGCCGAGCTGTACACCGGCTGCCCTCTCTTCCCTGGGGAGAACGAGGTGGAGCAGCTGGCATGCATCATGGAGGTAAGCGGGCCGCCGCCGCCGGCTCGGGGAGCTGACCCCCATGGCTTTGGCCCTCTGTCCCTGACTGTGTCGATCTCAGCAAGGGCAATAGCCTGCTTGCTGTTGTTTTTTCCTTTGGTTGTATGTTCCCTAAAAGTATCTCTGAGATGATGTACCATTTATACATTGTTGAGTTGAGAACCAACATTTTTATCATAAATTTAAATAGTTCCAAAGGATGGGATTTTCCCTTACAGTTAATCGTAACATTTTAAAACAAAATTGGAGGCGGGGAGATAGGTCAATAGAATAAGCACTTGCCTGGCAAGTGCAAGGGCCTTAGCTCAATCCCTGGTTCTGCAAAAAAAAAATAAAAAATAAAAAATAAAAAATAAATAAATAAAAAATAATAATAATAAAATAAAAAATTAAAACAAAATTGTTATTTGAGCCCTATATGTCCCAAAAATTAAAAAGCAGTGACTTGACACCTACCAAAATTTACATCCAAAACTATACAGTAAGTCCTTTACCACTGTACTTTTTACTTTGTTCTTTCTTCTCCTTGCATGAGCCTTTTTCTATTATCCTTCCTTCATAGAATTAATCCTAACTTAATATAGTTTTATATTTATTTATTTATTTTTGTATTTTAGGGGTTTATAGGGTATTCAGGGTCTCACTACTAGATCAGACTCATAGTAATCCACCTGTTTACAGCCTCCCAAGAGCTGGGATTACAGGTGTGCCACCACGCCCAGTCTCAGTTGCGGCCTCAGTGTGCCCCAGGGTGGGGGGGTCGAATCCCAGCCGTGGCTGCTTGCAGGAGCTTTAATCCGCTGAGCTATTTGGCCAGCCCTCTTAATATAGCTTTATTTTGAACTCTTTTATCAATTGCTGTAACTTGAATTTTTTCTTATTACCGTAAGCTCCATGGGTATCAGCTTTTGTCCTGATGAGACCATTAAAACAGAGCTAGCAGGACACAGATACAGACCATTATTAACCATACAATGTGAAGTTTTGAGCACACACTTCTTTAACAACCGGAGTGCCACTTTCCCTTTTCCCAGCTGACTTCTGTACCTGTTAGCGTGTATCTGTGCTAGGATGCACAAGCTCAGCGTCCGCACCACCCTTGACACTGACCTGCAAGCAGACGCGAGTCCAGGAGAGGCAGGACGTCTGCCCTGCTCTGTGGCCTCATCCTGTGACTCCTTTGGAGTTCCAAGCAATAACCAAATGGTGCTCTGTCACCAGAGATTATTTTTATCAGCCTGTCCTCTGACAATTTGATCACAATGTGTTGAAAATAAATAATTGGAAATTGTCTGATCTAAAAAATTCATGCTGTTAAGTCACTAACTTTTCAGTTTTAACCTTCTGGGGAGACTCTCACAACCACAGGCATTTCCAAAACTCAGCACATGACTATTTACCTTATATAGAACTCCTTTAACTAAAGGTCTTGTTATGGAACTAAATTAAACAAAAAGTGTAATAATCTTTTTTAAAATTTGGAAATTACACATTTTAGGATTTTCTAAAGAAATCCTAACAAATATCTTCGTAAAACAAAAATATTTTGATTCTGAATAAAGATCTCTGTTATGTGTGTATGTTAAATATTTTCTAGATTGTCTCGAAGATAGAGTAAGACATCCCTTGACAATTATTAAATGTATATAGGCAATTCTTTCATGGAATCTGAGATGGTATTAAAATCATTTAGCTAGAAATGGCTAGAAATGGTAGCTGTGGTGAAGTGAGAACTGGTCTAGAGTGGGTGAACCTGAGCTGCAGCTTCAATTCTGTCTCTCTGCAAATCACTTCCCTACTCTGGACTGGAAAGTGAGTGAGTCAGACAGATGGCTTCTAAGCTTGACAGCAGATGACTTTGTGAAGAATCTTTGAACCAACCAGTCCTGCTTTTGATACCAAGGAGAAGAGGGTATGTGTTGAGTTTTCCACAGTCCTAAGACCAACTTGGCTTCCTCTTGGCTTCAGTGGAGCTGTGGAGCAGGGGCAGGCTCATGGATGGATTCTAGCTGGGGTCAAGGGCTACAGGTAACACCAGTAGTTTCTCCATCTCTGTGAGCCCCTACAAAAATGCAGTACAGAAAAGTGATCAACAAGATCTACACTTTTCTTTCCAAGAATAAATTTGTCTTGTAAGGGTCCGATGCCTTTGGTGACTTTTGTCTCCTTACCCTCCCCTCCTTTGTGTGCTGCATTGTGATGTCATTCTTAATTCAATGTAATCAGCCTGTTCTGACAGATCTGCCTCCTGTTGAGAGTGTGTATTCCTGTTTAGAATAACATGGCAGTTGTGCATGGTAGCACATGCCTGTAGTCCCATCACTCAGGAGGCTGAGGAAGGAGGATTGCCAAGAGTTCAAGGCCACCCTGGGCTCCATCGTTGGTTCAAGGCCAGACTGAACTACATAGCAAGTCCCTGTCTCAAAATAAATAAAATAGAATAATATGGCCCACCATGCTTGTAATCAATCTTTTTGCTCAATTTTTTAAGATTTTATTTTAAAGAATAAAACCAAATAGCAGAAACAAAGACAAAAACAGAGTAACAAGTGACAGTACAAATGGTACAGAGTTTCAAAATAAGAATAAAATTTCAATAATAGTTATGTATTTTCATTGTCAAATCTCTTGTTCAGATTAATAGACATAGGTGTGCAAAATTTGTCAAATAATTAAACATTAATGGTTAGTTTCAACAAACTTTAATTTTTCTTGTCATAAAAAAGCTTAAAGATATATATATATATATATATATATATATATATATATATATATATATATATAGCCACCATGCAATCTTAGGGTGCTGAAATATCCTGGATCAGGAGTTGAATGACATAGGCTTTGAGTCTGCTGTCCACTGACATGGGTTCCTGGGTCCTTCACTAGAAAGGCAGAGTTTGGCCAAAATCCTACCTTGCTCTTAACAGCCTTTGACTTTATGACTCCAAAAAGAGTGAACCAACCTCATTGTACTTGTTGAAGGTGCTGGGCCTGCCACCAGCCCGCTTTATCCAGACGGCGTCCAGGAGACAGATATTCTTTGGTAAGTCCCTGGGTCTCTTCTTGTGTCTAGTGAGGTGTCTCAGGTCTTGAAGATGCCTCCCACACCCAGAACTCTGTGATTTTTCTTTTTCTCAGCTTCATGCCAAAAAGAAAGCTGTGTAGAGAAGCTTAAACTGTAATGAGTAGTACCAAATAGTGTGATGAAGACGAGGTGGGGGAAGTCCTGGCAGGAATGGGGTCAGGCAGTACAGGTTCACAGCAGCAAGAGATTGACAGGTTCCCCCTCATAAAGGCTATTATCAAATAATGGAACCTCAAACGACTGTAACTGTACTCTCTCACTAAAGTTTTTGTCATCTCCCTAAACAGCTTGCATTTTTGCATCATGCACCATAGTTGTATTTTGTCTTAATGAAACATTTTTCTTTATTGCTATTAACTTTCTCCTAATCCCCAGACTCTTAATGTTCCAGGCTTATTGCAGCTCTGGTATAAAATGGATGGGCAAAGATTTTCAAATAACTTTGCTGTAAATATGTTGCTGCTGGTAAATTATGAATGGTCATCTAATTGCCAGGATTCAGCCTCATCCACAGCTGCACAATACCTGCCTCATCACAATTCCCAATCTCTGGATTCTGTAATGCTCTGTCTTTTGGTGTGAGTTATCTGTACAAGATAGACAGATGGAATAACAAGGCAGGGCTTCTAAGTACCTTATGCATCATTTTAAGTAAGATTCAGACCTAAGCTCTTTTAGAAGAGCTTTCACAAGAAGCTAAGGGATTACCAAGTAGAAAAATCCATAGTGGCCTAAAGGTTTTGTCCAAGTGGAAACAGAGCCAGATACAGAGAGATGAAATCCATACATAGGGACTCTCTGCCACCTGAAATGACATTTCTGATCATCATTGAGACTGCAGTTCCCGTATTCCTAGTCCACTCTTATTTTAAACTGAGAATAGCCTTAGAATGGGCAGTTCAATTGCACAACTTCCCACAACTGGCCCTGGCCATAGAGAGGTTAAAACATTCCTATGAGGAATCCAATAGGACAAAAGGATTTTGGTCATGCTGCCCAGAATGCACTGGTTCAACCATACCAGGCTATGCCATCATCTTCTCTATCTTTTGGTAAAAAGTTATAACTTTGAGCCTTACCAAAGTTGTAGGCCCTTGGCACTGACCAGGGAAATATCTTGGCTCTTTTAGACTAGCGCCTGTACCCTTACCTTTCTTCAGGTTGTGCAGAGCCTCTGGCTGACTCCTTAGTTTAATGTATAATGTATACATGCACAGTGGAATTAGTCTTTGGATTTTAAAGGCTTTTCCACACAAATTCTTTTTTTTTTTTTTTTGTGGAACCAGGGATTGAACTCAGGCCTTTGCACTTGCCAGGGAAGCGCTTATTCTACTGAGCCGTCTCCCCAGCCCCTTCACAAATTCTTATAATATTAAGCATTTTGGGCTTTGAAAGGTTTAGTGGAAATGAAATGTGGATATTGCTGCTCCCTCCTGGTAAGCAAAGAGTTTGGAGGAAAATCCACATTCTAACCCTTTGACACTGATCTCATGAGGTAGCATTGAAGTTGGCACTGTGGGAAGGGAATATAGTTCTTTTTTTTTTTCTTTTCTTTTTTTGACAGAACCAGAGATTGAACTCAGAGCTTTGTGCTTGCCAGGCAAGCACTTATTCTACTGAGCCATCTCCCCGGCCATTCATTTGATGGGAAGATACAAAAGACATACACATGCCCACTTCACAGAGTACTTGATTTCTACCATCAGTGCTAAATTTTAGGATGGTGATGTGGTTTTGGAGTTCACATTCAATATTTCCTGCCTATGAAAGGATTTTGCTGAAAGCTGCATCACTTTCATTGTTTCTCAAGCTATTTTATTATAATAATCATTGAACACTCAGGAAATACCAATTTCCATGATACTCTTCTATAACCTATGATATTATTGGTTAGAAGTGAGACCCAGGATTATATGTTGTTACTAACAGTTTCTTGTAGCTCTCATGACAAGCTGAGTCTGGGAAACACTGCAGCACTTCAGTTCTGGACTCTTCCTAGCTTTTGGCCAGCAGCACTACTAGCTTTTGGCCTCAGCACTACTTGTTAATATTTCTAATTAGAAGCATACAGTAAGGCTGCCTCAACAGTAACAAGATACACTACGTAGGTGCCCTGGGTGACAAGGAGATGGAGGGAATAATGAGATATAGGGAAGGCCAGAGGGGTGAGAAAAACTTGCAGAAGAAAAATAATCACATAAAGACAACTTCTGGAGTTATGCTATTTGTAGGATTGTGAGCTTGATTCCAACCAGGTGGGGGCATCGGTGCTACTATCTTAAGGGAAATGGGATGTTTATGAGTTTACATGCCTTGCACAATTCCCCTGAGCCAGTACTTCTCATGTAGATGCTCATTAGTAAAAATAGATGTCTTTTGTGGGCCCTGCAAATTACAGTGATTACAAAAGTTAATAGCAGAACTTCATTCTGCACCTAAATGTGTCTTTTGTGAACTTCACTAAATTCTTTAAGAACTCAGTTCAATGTGTAAACTTTGTGCACGTGTGTCCACATTGCCCATTTAAGTGCACACTTACAAGGCATGAGCATAAGCGGTTGTGTACAAGAATCTGAATGTGAGAATAAATGGTCTTAGCCTGAAAGCACTGAACAAAACACCCTTGGAACTCTCTTCAGGGCTTCATTTTAGGGCTAACAAATTCTACATTTGGCAAGGAGTTTAATCAGCAGAATTTATTTTTTTTAAATTAATTTTATTGAGAAACAAATAGCAATGCAACAGTTTCAAAACCGATTAGTAGGACATAATCAGTAGAATTTGCTCAGGCAAAATTTGGTGATGCTAAAGATGAGGTTAGTTTGCTTGTATGGCTTGTGCATGAACTCTGAAAGTTTTTCCAAAAATATCTTTGTAAAATACCTTCTCAGTGTCCCAAATAATCATTTTTTTTGGGTTAGTGAGAAAGCAACAACAGCATAGATAATCTAGGAAAGGATAATATACTTTTTGTCCTGAACCATTTTGTATATTTAAATTTGTTTTTCATCATCATCATCATCTCTATCATTTTATGCTTCTGTTGTTTACTATTAAACCATTTAAACTGATGTGGGGAACAGAAATAATAGGAAAACCTGATTTTAGTGTCAGTAGGGCTCCCCTGCTAATTTGCAGGCAGCTATTTTAAGGCTGAGTCCCTGGGTGTGTATGTGCCTGAGGAGATGGGCAGGAGCGGTGGGCAGAGGGAGTAGAGTACAAGAGAGCTGCAAAGATCACTTCCGGAAGCAGCACGGTTGAGCAGACAGATGTGATGAGACCAGTGAATATTTACACCTGGAACTAAATCAGCGTGTTCTATTTCTAAGATTCCAAAGGTTTCCCTAAAAATATAACCAACAAGCGGGGGAAGAAAAGATACCCGGATTCCAAGGATCTTACGATGGTGCTGAAAACCTGTGACTCCAACTTCCTGGACTTCCTCAGAAGGTGTTTGGTGTGAGTGTGTTGGGTATTATTGCCTCTGGATTTCCAGCTAAGTAGTAGATTTTCACACACTTGCTAGTGTAAGTGTAAGTCTGGGAAAGTATTATAAAAATAACAGATATTCCTCATTTAAGAATTGTTCAGACCTAAAACCTGTCTTTTTTGTACCGTGCTATACATCTCATTCATAAAGCCTCAATGTCTCATTTGCATAGTACACTTTACAGTACTATAATTTTGGCTAATTGTGCTGTGCAGTACAATATTGTAGCTATGTGTTCTGTTATAATTATGCATGTAAGAGTTATGCAAATAAAACCCAAATCATTCATTTGGAGTTTGCTTTGACCATTTCTTTGTTCTGAATATTGAAATGTATATACTATACACAACCCCTCATTTAGCAACCAATTCAATTAATGCCCTAGTTGCAAGGGCCCATTTCAGTCATTAAACAAGGAGTGTCTGTAATACTAAAGGTAGAGCTTTAACGTCCGTCCCTCAAGTGGCTTCCACATCACAGTGCTCTCTCTCCTACTGTCTTAATGGTCAGGAAGATGATCTGCTACTTTACAGAAATGGTGGCTCAGCTCAGAGAGGTTGATTTGCCATGGATTATACAATGTGTGCATAGAGTTTGTTGTCTTCTTGTCCTTCAGCTGCAGGGCAGCAAGACTGTAGGCAAGTCCTAATGACTTCTTTTTTGTGAACCAAAGCAACCACTTTAAGGGGGCCTGCATGCTTCATATCCAACACACATTGGCTCCTAGGCTCCTCCCCATCCCGCTAGGATTTTGTGTTTCAGTTGTCTTGCATTAGGGAACTAGGAAAAGGATGAGCACTAAACCACTTATTACACACAGCATCTTACCGTCTGCATGTTTATTTTGAATCTGGTGCTACAGATCAAGTCATACAAAGAAAGAAATCAGCACACAAAGCACCCAGCAATGTTTAGTTTAGGTGTCAGGAAAAAGTTGGCCATTGTTTTACTTTTATTTTACTGTTAAAGAGGTTTTGCAAGTCTGTCTCCACTGAGTACAAGTAGATTAGCTTAGATCAGTAGATAGTAAATCAGTTTCTCTCACTGGGTCTCAGTTTCCTTTTCTACAAAATGGGCTGCTCTTAGGGTACTTGTAGGATCCTGTAAGTATTTAGATTTTTAGAAGACTACGTCTTTGCATTCTCTCATTCTTCCAGTCAGACAGAGTAATTAAGCAAAATACTACTTTGGCATTCATGTATTATGAAGTTTGGGCACCAACTCAGAGGGTAAAGCATCAGATACTATTGAAAAGATTCCTATGGGAGGCTTACTTATCTGCATAATACAGATAAAGAAGGATACTTAAAGGGGCTACAGAATGAAGGTGTTTTAGCAATGATAGAAACTGACCAACAAGTTAGGGGAGTATCTGGAAACCCAACCACCCAGAACACAGTTCAACACCAAAAAAATCATAGTCTCTTTTAGTACAAAGAACTGATAGCTTACAACTTGTAAGAGGCTGATGGAGCCTGTTACCTAATCCATATATTGCTAATGAGCAAATAATTTGTATGAGAGACTAAAACTAATAGTGAATCTAATAGGAGCAAATGTACAATCCTATATAGGCTAACTCTAGAAGTCCAGAAGAGAGATATAGTTTAACAGCAGTGCATTTGACAAAGAACTGCGACCTTGAGTTATTTGTGGGCTTGGTGAGTCTAGAATGCTTATACCATCTCCCTGAAGTTGGGAGCTATTCTCAGCATGAATTACAGATTGAATTTCTTGTCTTAGAAGATGGCCAGGGGCCGGGGAGATGGCTCAGTAGAATAAGCGCTTCCCTGGCAAGTGCAAAAGTCTGAGTTCAATCCCTGGTTCCACAAAAAAAAGGTCAAAGAAGATGGCCAGATTGCACATTGTAGAAACCATATCATATGATCGATAGTAGTGATGTAAGCACTTTTAGATAGTTGGAATACCAACATTTAAAAAAAGCATTAGTCATTTTATTTTGTATGGGACTAGTGAATAGAATAAAGACCTAGTAAAATTTTCTGTGGTCAATATTGGTTCAATAAAAAATAAAAAAGAGCTTTTCAAGAATCTAAATTTTCAAGATTGGAATTGTTGAATATGTTAGCCTTGTCAAAATATTGATGATGTAGGATGATTCTATGTTGGGAGTTCTATCAAATGCATTCTGCTATTGTGTTAGAAGTTTTGCCTGAATTATATCCAATTCCCTTACAAAACTTAATGCAGTATATTCAAATTCTATAATTTTGTGATAAATTTGGTGGCCCAAGTCCCATAGTTTGGGAATTTATTGTTATCTTCTTACCAAATCTTAAATACTATCGGTTGCTTTTTTAAAATAATGTTTCTTTCTAGGGTTTCTAGCAAAACTTAGATTTGAATATATGCCTCAATCATTACACAAATTTTCTAAGATTATTTCAATAGTAGTTTCCAGCTACTTTAATATTGTATGTTGTATGGTGTCTTAGAGATACGACGTCACTTAAATGAAAAATACCTTCATTGGATTAAAAAAGCACTATAATGTTAAAAGGGAAAGTAGAATAATAACCCATTCTGGGTTCTGTTGGTGTGCAGATGGGAACCTTCTCTTCGCATGACCCCTGATCAGGCCCTCAAGCATGCCTGGATTCATGATGTACGGAGTCTCAAACCATGGCCTAGGCCCCAGACCTTGAGGAAATCTAGTTTCTGTTTTCCTTCTGAGCCAGGCAAAAACAAGGTTCAAGAACATCATCATCCTACCAAAAGTAAAAAAGGTACATTCCTCAGCCAACCAGTCCTCTTGCCATAGTCCTGGGAGCAGATACTTCTGGAGGATTTTGACGATTACTTTGAAATTAACCATGACTGGCCTGCCATTTCTTATTTTAGAGATGATCTTCTTTTAGGACATTTGGCTTTATCTGGACTCTTGCTTTTGACCCTTGTCATTAGGACTTTCCACTTTCTCCTGTACTCTCTGCCCTTTCACCTCCCTCCCCACTTACTCGCTGAGTCCCCTCCTTTGTGCCCTGTAATTACCTGTAGAGTCATTGTTAATGGAAGACTGGCATTACAGAAATCTTTAATATGCAGTGTACCGGGGCTGGAGAAATAGCTCAGTGGTCTTAGCACCTGCCTGGCAAGCACAAGTCCCCAGATACAATCCCTGGTACTGCATGCAATGCCAACCCTGGAGCCTGAGCTGACCCCAAAACCACATGTGGTGGCACATGCCTGTAACCCCAGTCCTGGGGAGGCTGAGACAGGAGGATCACTATGAGGCCAAACTGCATAGTGAAACCCTGTATCAAAAAAAAAAAAAAATGCAGTATACCATAGCACAGGACACGAGAGTCAAGTTATCTGAGATTAAATTCTGGCCAGATCATACCAGGGATGGGCCCTTGGGCAATTTGCTTATGAGAAAGAATGCTTATTCTGTAAGGTTTCAGAAAGCAGCAAGTAAGTTAGTAAATGCAGAATGCTTAGAATGCTTCCTGGCATGTAAAACGTACTTTCATGAGCTGCTTTTACATCATTACAAGCGTAATGCCCACAAAGTGGCTTGCAGCTTAATGGGAAGTGAGAATACACATTGGTCTGTATGGAACGCTTATCCCTTTGGTCTCCTCTCATTGGCAGGTGAGACCAGCAAAGATACTACAGTAAACAGGATGGAGGGGGCCACCATGCACACGCTGGATCCCAGGGCCCAGCAGGCGTCTCTCCCATGCATCACTGACGCCATCCAGCTGCCTCCCATAGCAGACACTCACAAGAAGCCAGAGGTCACTGTGGGGCAAGAGGCACCTGTGACCTCCAGAGAACAAAGCAAAAGCTCTTCTCCCCAAAACACAAACACTCTGCCACCTATCATGTGACCCTTGCTGAAGGCATGTCCTGTTCCTTTCCACCTATGATTTGTTAAAGACAGCTCTTATATTGTACAATATTTCACATTTTTTATGCATAAATGTTTCAAAAATTAAAACTAGTCATACAGACAACTGGCATGTTTCCACTTATGAAGGGTGGGGTAGATGGCTTCATAATTGAATTCACTTTTTAAATGTCAATGTATATATTTAGTGTTATGGCATCAGAATATTTTTTCTTGCTTGTGCCTACAACTCATGTTAACCAGGATTCTTGTTTGAAAATGATAGAAACTGAGTGCAATTTACATTAAACAGTAAGTTTAACTGGCGAAGCAGGAGATGTGGTTTGAGACACAGCAGAATTTGGGAATTCAAACAAGGTCATAGGGCTATATCATCAAGTCATCCATTAGCCTTGCTCCTCTTTTTAATACCTGGTTTCATAGTTTCCATTTAAGTTGCTCCATATAATACTCCATGAAAGGTGACACCAGGTGATTGAAGCTATGGATTTGCATGAGATTAACCAGGAAGAATGACGGAATGAACCTATAGACAAGAGAAAGTCCCAGCAAAGATAAATAAGGAGTTGACAGGGCACAACTCCCCCAAAAGGCACACCAGACTAGGAGAAACATTAGCCAGAACAGGAGGAAGTTTCTAGGAGGTAAACAGGATCAAAAGTATAAAATATCGAGAAGGATGAAAAGTTACATAAGTGGCATGATGTGGACTTTAATAAATGGCATAAGTCAAGAAATGCCGTGTCACAGCAGGTAACATGCAGCAGGTTCAACAGCCACAAAGGAACTGAGGTCCTGAGAACTTTTTTTTTTTTTCATTTCGTGGTGCTGCGGGTGGAATCTAAGGTCTTAAACATATTAGGTAAGCGCTGCACCTCTCAGCCACATTCTAAGCCCTGGGGCATTTTGACGCTATCCTCAGCCATATGTAAGGCTAGTAGGAGAATCTGTTCTGTAGTCTGCAGACAGTGAGGAGACAAGTTCTCGGCACTGTGATTAGGACTGGGACTGACTAGAGAAACTATTTTCTGATCCTCATGCTTATAAAAGGAGAAACAAATCCTTGAGGAGTGGCGGCTTATTTTGAGGACCCGAGTTCCTTTGTGGCTGTCAAACCTGTGGCATGTTCCCTGCTGTGACTTAAAACTTAGTTTAGAGGAGAGGAACTAGAAATTGTGCACTGACAGGGAGCGCAGGAAGGACAGGCACAGAGGCTGTGTCGGTGCCGCTTGGTCCGGCGCCGTCCTGCCTCTGCCATCCATGTGCTGTCCTTCTCACGCTTTAGGTATTTTTACCTTACTATCCCCATGGAGCCCAAAGAAAACAAACACATGCAGCCCTTTAACTGTAATTTTTAATTTTACGTCCTTGCTCGCATGGACAGGAAAATCTTCAAAATTCAGTGACTCGAAGATGATGCGTCTTTGATGAGTGGTGTGAGAGTAAAGCGAGGGCTCTGAGAGGACTTGGGGAGGCGGCCGCGGTGGGCACAGGGGTTGCTGCGAGTGGGCGCCCGTCACAGGTTCGCCATCAGCCAGTCCAGCAGCTGCAGCCGCGTGACGTTGCCCACCGCCTCGTCCAGCTGTCGCTCCTTCTCGTAGCGCAGCACAGACTGCAGAACTTCCCCGACGCTGCGTCCCTTTTCCACAGCGGCAGCGGAGAGCTGGAGTAGCTGTTGGGAGCGGAGGAAACAGTCGTAGAGGGCTTAATATCCCAGGAAAGACCAGAAACAAACTGTCATGACTAGACCCTGAGGGAATGGGCCGCAGGAGAGACTAGAATAGAGGTTGAGAAGACTTCCTTTGCCAGCCTGCTTGACAAAAGGAAGTTGGTGACTACTCTAATTCAAAGAAGCGATGTTAGTAATCACCTGCCCATGATGTAGGAAATGTGACTTCTCATTAAGATTCAAATCTTCCTATTTTTCCCAGGGCCTAAGAATTCTAAGGATCTAAGCTCATACTAATATCCTAAAAGAGTAGCCACTGTCCTGAGACCAACAAGGACACGTGCTGCTACTTTCCATGTCCCATAGACTAGAGAACCTAGATTATCAGAGCAGGAAGGGCCCGCAGTCAGCAGCTCAGCCACAGGAAGAACCTGCCCAGAGAGGTGAAGAGACTTGTCCCACGGCACTGCTGGTCATTCTCAGATCCAAATGCAACCCAGGTCTCTGAATCTTAAACTTAGCCTTCTTTTCAATACAAAATGTGAAAAAGAAGTAAGAATGGGGGCTGGGGAGATAGCTCAGTAGAATAAGTGCTTGCCTGCCAAGCGCAAAGGGCCTGAGTTCAATTCCCAGTTCCGCCAAAAAAAAAAAAAAAAAAAGTCAAAATGACTGTTCTAATATTAACAGAGTATACTGTCATTCATCTGAAATCCTAAAGGCAACAAACTACCTCAAAGAACTAAGTTTTTATTTTGTGTATTCTGCTCTTTATAAGAGTCAAAGGTCAAATAAATGGGCCAGATATCATGAGCTTAGTAAGAAGGAAAAATTAATATGCTTATTCAGAAGGAGAAATTAATGTGCAAGAAGTACGTGGGACATTCCTGAGACAAGGGGATAAAATTTCCATTTTTTTAAAATAGGAAATGTAGAACTAAAAACAAACAAAATCAAAAAACATTAAAAACTTAAAGAATGGGCTAAATGTGAAAAACAAAGAGGAGAGAGACTTCATTCTCAAGAGAAAGGAAAGATGGGGATAGTCATGAGGAAATTCCCTTTTCAGCATGCATCTTCTGTAATTTTGGATACTGATCTCAACACATGTACTACCTATTCAAAAATAAGTAAGGTCATTTAAGGAAAGTGGGCTTATGGCTCCCCAGTGCCACTAGGGTTAATCACCCAGATCAGCAAAGGAATATTTGTTCACACTAATCTTTTTGCCCCAAAGTCACTATTAGATAGTCTTTTGGAATTTGTGTCATCTGATTTTTCTTAATACTAACACTCAATGCAAATTTGTTCACAGGTAAAGTTTATGCTCTTCTCTGCCTTTCTTTTGCTTTCATAAAATAGGAATGACTGCCTTTGGAACAGGCAGAATTGTGGACCACTAGTCTGCTGGTCTCAGATAGATATATTATAATCTAATTTAAAATAATCTAAAATCCAGAAAGTATCATGCATGATGGGTATCATGGGCTTGACTTAAAACCTGACTACAGAACCAACACCCTCTTCACATATTGTATGAAGTCTTCATACACATGAAGGCTCGGTTCTATTTTTTTTCATCAGGAGATAGCTCAGTGGCATAAGTACTTGCTTGTCAAGGTCTTGAGTTTGATCCCTGGTACCAAAAAACAAAACAAAAAAAACAAACAAACAATGTCTCAGTTACTCTTCTCTCATTGCTGGGAAAAATACTCGACACCCAAAATGAAGGAAGAAAGGTTTATTTATCTCACAGTTACTGCAGGTTTCAGTCCATACTCAGCTGGCTCCAAGGCAGAGCAGCACATGGCAGAGAGCAACACTTCATGGTGGTGGTGGTGGAAAGAGCAAAAGCAAATGGTAGGAGTAGAGTCTACAATGGCTACAGAGAGGAATCTGTGTCCCTCAAGTTGCATTCAGGCTATCTGCCCCAAACTGGGTGTAGTACTCACACCCAGGATCCCAGGAGCACTCATCTCCACAATCCCAGTGGATTTTTTTTTTTTTTTTTTTTTTTTTCAGAACCAGGGATTTAACTCAGACTCTTGAGCTTGCCAGGGAAGAGCTTATTGCACTGAACCATCTCCCTGGAACCCCCAGTGGATCTTGAGTTAATCTAACTCTAGAAGTCTGCCCCATGACTGCAGGAAGCTTTGGGGGGACAACTAGACACAAACCATAACAAACAAAAGCCACAAAAAACCCCTAAACTTTTGGATAGACTGTAGCCTCCCCTCTCCTTCCCTGCTACTTGCCAACTATCAAAGCAGTTGTGCATTTTACAGGTTGAAAACCTGTAACACAATGATAAAAAACAAAACAAAACAAAACAAAACTGTAAAACACATCTTGCCCAGCCCCCTTAGGTGCATATCTAATATTTGAGCCAGCTGTTCTCTAGCTCAGCAGATGCCACTCTTTTTTACCTGAGGGACCAGTTTGGAGGAAAACAGTATTTCAGCAGACAGGGGATGGGGGTGTGTTTCTGGAAGGTTTAAAGAAGCCTGCAATCTAGATCCCTCACATGCACAGTTCCTGAAAGGGGTGTGCTCCTGTAACAATCTAACATCACCATTGATCTGACAGGAGGCAGAGCTCAGGTGGTGATTTGAGCAGTGGAGCAGCTATAAATACAGATGGAGCTTTGCTGACTTGTCTTCCACTCAACTCCGGCTGTGCGTGCCCAGTTTCCAATAGAACTGGGGAGCCCTGCTCCAGTCCAAACTTGAAAGTGCACACACACCAGCAGGTCCAGCAGGTCTGGAGCTAGGCTAGATTGTTTTAAAGCATGTTTTAAGTCAGCTTGTACACTTCTAACAAGTCCCAGTAATGGCACTCCCTGGATGACGCTGAGTAATCCTATAGTCTTTTTTTTTTTTTTTGGCAGAACCGGGGATTGAACTCAGGCCCTTGTGTTTGCCAGGGAAGTGCTTATTCCACTGAGCCATCTCCCTGGCCCTTTTTCTTTATCTTTCTTTCTTTTTTTCTGATCCTATAGTCTTGCAAGACAGATTGTGGCTAAGACTGAAATCAGTGTCATAGAGTTTCCTGTTTCATCTTGATGCAGCCTCATCAGGACAGTATATAATCTGCATCTTCTCAGTCATCAGATAATCCCATCTCTCCCTCCTCTTTGGGATCAAATCCAGGGACTCATAAATGCAAGCAAGTGCTCTGAGCTATACCTCCAGCTCCCAAGATGATTTTTTATACAACATTAATTGATAAAAAAAATTGTTCCACTTCTCACAATCAAGAGCTAACCCAAAGTCCGAGGAGTGTGCAGCTATGGTCTCACTCTTGCAATTCCTCCA